CATGCAGATTTTGTTTGTAGCCTATCTAAGAGTCAAATCGACACGATGTTAAATACCAAATTTATGGTAAATTTGACAATGACAACGAAAACGAATGTGGAGTCAAATGTGTATAAGCAAAAGAAAGAAAGGGGGTATCTTTTATTCCCTTATTCACTCTATCCGAGGCCCATGGAAAAATAACATTATTGTTTGTCGCGGACTAAATATCAGAACCGTTTTCCACCCTTAATGAAAAATGGGCAACACAAGCTGCGAAATTTGACGACTTAGGGAGTTCGTACAAGGCCCGGGCCGAATCCCAGCTTGTGTTGGTCCCCTGATACCCAGTGCCCGTTGGCACGATCGGTTCAGTTCGGTTTGCCAGCCAGATTGAGTTTGCAAAGCGGCTATCGTGACATATGCCGATCGCCGACTCGTCGCCTTAAAAACAAGCGCGTTTATTTTCAGGCGACGAATCGGGCGATCGGTTGTCGATCGATAGACGATTGAGAGAACTGATCCGCCAATAGGCATACGTTATTTATACCCAGTGCTCAATGAGGGGTAGATTTTCTAATGCAAACCGATCGCCCGACTCTCGGCCTTGAAAACAAACACGTTTGGGTTTTTTTAGGGTCACAGTCGGCTTTGTTCGGTTTGTACCACGATGGTCACTTTTCGCCCTCAATCTGGCTAACATTGCCTACCAAACCTAAATGAACCGAACCCAACCGAACCGATCGTGCCAATGGGCACTGGGTATAACAACCAGGCTAACTGAGAGAGAACTGTCAATGCCTATCAGGACCGTGCTTCTCTGTTGTACAAAAAACACTCGAGCTTGATTCCCGTGTGGAGACAATGATATACTCTTCAACAACAACAAAAAAGCAACTTGACACTTGGACATTTTTGAATAATAGGAAATGCAAAACAAAATTGTAAATATTAGGGACAGAATTTTGTAAGGGATCAAGTGTTGTCGCCAAAACACCAATAACCACGTGCAGTGCATCAGAACGTCCGTACAGGCGAGTTTTTATTGAATCCATAACGGCAGCCTTGACCACTTTCTTGTGCACAATAGTGGACTGCAACTCAGCATTTTGTAACCTCTCTCACTGCCGTAAAAAAAAACCCCACAACAACCATGGTTCACACAGTCCATGTAACACAACCGTAGACAACTGAAAAATGTGCCCGCTACGGGATGGGATCGGCAGATTGGGCCGATCACCCGACTCAGTCACCTCAAAAACAAACTTGTTTGTTTTCAGTTTCAGGCGATCGAGTTGGGCGATCGGCCCGATCCAGCCGTAGTGGGCACCCCGTTTAAAAGGTAGACTGATGCGGAAAGCAATAATGCAATCGGACGATTGGAAATAGGGGTGGCTCAGAAATCCGTGGCAAGGCTCTTTGGCGTGTCTAGACAGACTATTGCTGCGTTATGAACACGATACAGCAACACTCAAAGTGATAATGACAGGCCTAGGTCAGGCTGACCCGGGGTCACTACTGCGGCCCAGGATCGTTATATTTTGTGATTTTTATAGGTTCGTTTTATTGAAAAATTCAGTTTTAAAAGTGAGTGTCAGGTTTCTTTTTTTAAAGGGTATGTTATCAAGTATCTCGGTCGTTCTGTTGAGATCCTGTTTCCTTCTCCGCTAAGGCTGACCCTAGTGTCGAAGCTCACCTCCTAAAAGAACTAAGTTGAGTGGATGATGACATAAACACTCTTACTTTAAAAAATATATATTCAGACTCCAGGGCTTTTTTTCAGTTTTTTTTCAACTTGCAACGTCTTGTTCAAACCACTTTAAAACAACTACTATAATTTAAACCACAGTGTACTTCCCGAAAAACACGTGAACATCAGGCAGGAGTTCTTCCCTCAGATCAGAATATTGCTATCTCAATTCTCATTTCAGTACAGGAATAATATTATTTTCCTTTACTCTCAGTGTACTTTATCACTTACCTTCAGTCAGATTTGTAAAAATATCATTCTTTACCTTTTGTTTTGGTAGGAGTTTTCCTCTCCACTAGATACGTATCCCCCCGAAGTGATTCCAGTGCCCATAAGATTAGGAAGTCGCTCCATGAAGAAAAATCAATGAGTTTGTGCCATCAAAGAGAGAGAGAGAGAGAGAGAGAGAGAGAGAGAGA